AGTATACTGAAATAGTGAGCTCAAGTCTGGCCAAGGGAATACACCTGTCTCAAAACATAGGCATGCTATGCATGCAAGAGTTATTTTTTGTAGGGTGGGTGGATTACTTGAAACATTGTAAGTGGTCTACATTCTTACAAAAGGAAAGAAGATTATTAACGCGGGAAAGAATGAAAATGTCGAATTACAAAATGTAGACAGCAGACTGCAGACCAGATACAAAATATAGACTGCAGAGTGGATACAAAATGCAGACTGAGAATCTGAAGAGTTTTTATGTCTGGTATATAATAACATGTCATCTTACAGCTTACCGAGTGTCACGCAATCGCTTTTCCGCGATCAGCCTTCACGATTATTTGCACTATTGTGGAAAATTCCTGGCCCATTTCTTGACGAAAATCGATCGTAATATAATTTCAAGCCTTCAACATAGTTGGTTGGTGTGATGTCTGTACAGATTTTACCAATGTAATAAAAGTAGATGACGTGAATAATAGTGATGGTAAAGCAAGCTGAAAACGGCAACAATCGCCAGAAACTACAACGGATACACAGGGTATGAGTAAGTTTTATTGATTTTACGAGAAAAATCTTCATATTTCGAAATACTTATCGTTGTAAATCGACCATATTTCGTTCCCTATACTATTCCTTATAACGTGTTCAAATTTTCAACGGTTCCTAGCATAACTATTCCTGAGTCACACAACGCGTGACGCGTTCGTGAATTAATCGTTGGCTCTTTCTCGAGACGTGACCTTGGGTCGCCTGTGACAAGACAATTAATTGCGTAAACAATACTTAACATAATAACATTATACACAAAAAACACGGGATTTTGGATCATGTATTTATTAAAAAAGAATATCCATACAACTACAGTGAAAACAAACATAAGATTCACCTTTCTGATCGTGAAATTAATACCATTCGCACTGTTATCGTAGCTACGTTCCCTGGCATCAAGTGAATCCAACATGGCGTCTTTCTTCACAAGCAGTTTGCATCCATTTGAATTTTGTTCTTCAGTCTCACGGTAGTAGCGTTGTTCAATAGATTGCATAGAGTATATGCAGTTTGGTTTCAGATTTCAGATTTTACTTTTTACGACGAGTTAACGTTTTCAACTAAGACATTGGCATACTTAGCATACAAGACATACAAGGCATTCAATGCTTTCATGGCTTTCAAGCGTTCGCGATTCAGTCCGTTCCAAAATTACCGCTCAATAACATCTTTTTGTGTGGATTGGCCGCCAACAATACGACTTGTGTATGCATCTATAAGTATTTTGAGCTTTTGCGCTATATTGCTCCAGATGATCGTAATCCAAACACGTTGAAATACAAAACGACTGACAAAAGAGTTTTATGGGCAAAAATCCCGTGCTCGTCATGTGACCCGGCCCTGTCCGTGCATGACAACGTCAATCATCATCAAGATAACATGCGTGATCAGCATGTGAACACCTCATTGGATCACAGTTAGTTGTCATGGTGTTGAGGGCTTAATGACCTCTGGGTACTATTGCGCAATTTTTCCATTTTGTGGCGGAGGAAAAAAAAAAAAGACGACAAAAAAACAAAGGCATTTTATGACTGGCTACCACAGGTATCCCAGTAATAATTTATTCCTCTGTTATTAAGCGCAATTATCAGAGGCTTTCGATTTAATTCTTTTGTCAATTATTTGGCGAAAAAACTGCATACATAGTTGACCGAAGTTCGATTCCATTACATTCACTTCATCACTTCTTTCGGAAGCATCATGAAGCGGCGTCTGGCCGAGTGCTTTCAGCCAGATTCGATCACACGCCAAATCGAAGGAAAAAAGCACATCCAAGAGGAGATCGATGCAGCAATTTCAAAATTGAAGAGTTTGGACCCCTCTTTCGTGATGAGAAACAACGTTTTCTTGAAGGAAGACCAAGCCCTTCTTTTGTTGTCCGCGACCATGGGTCTTCATGGTGTAGTTATTTTAAAGTTGGCTTTGGATCACGTCCCTCCCACTTTAAGCAAGACAATGCGAGGATCAAGTGTTCCGATTCGGTTTTCATTCGTCTCGGACATTATGTCCACGATTGGTTTTCCATTGTCGCTCGCTGAAGCGAAATCCTCCTTTGAGTTCTTGGAACGATATTGCCCCAAGTTTCTATCCTCTTCCGTCGCTCTAGGAGACATTTTATGGTCTCTTACTGGGGATAACGGCTGTCATTTCACCAAGTTCATCACTTCACTAGTGGAATCTTGTTTGAAATGTGAATAGCGCCTTCAAATGCACAACAACCCTACCAAAGCAATTGTTCATGGTTCAACGGGCCCTTTGCCTGCCAGTAAGATAACTCTTGAGTGCAGAGTGTATAACAACATATGGCATTGAGCACTTCACTGACGAAAGTGGAGCGCTTATTTATCCTAGAGGTATTCAGTCGCCTTTCTTTGAGGCAAGCAACGTGTCCTACATGAATCGCGATTTCTACAAGTGGATACCAAGCCTTGGGTAAGTGTTGTTCCATTGAAGATACACGTTCTCCTAAACTTGAGTAACCAGTTTCACGTACTTGATTGATAAGATTATTTGAGGCGAAAATTAAAATCCTTCGATCCCATCTTTTTTCATAGGAACACATGTAATCCAATAACATTCCAATAACACATTACGCTGAATTTTTCTAGTAAATCGTGCATGATTATTTTTTATCTAATCACGCGTCACGTATAAAGGAGTAAGTACGCCAAACTAATACTGAAACTCATCGGATGCTTTATTCGAAATTATATTGCATCCAAAGTTTTTTGGTTTTCTTTTTTTTGTTTCTGGAATGAATTGCGTTCTACTTGTCATATCGCTCTTTGTTACACAATCTAAGACGACCTACTTGTTGAATTAGACGCTTCGAGAGCGTTTACTCGGGCTTCATATCGCAATATCGAATCGTACTCTACAAGTATCGAACACAATAAAAAAACAAGTTAAAGAATCAGGATACATGACACAAGAGTTACGCTTTATTATTCAAGTTGTTTATTATCTCATAAGTCAAAGAGCGTTCGTTTATCACGGAAATTTAAGAAGTAGGTCTGGTAAATCACGCATCACGCGCTTGTAACATCCCGTTTTGAAGTCAGGTCCCGCGTCACCTGGATAATTTGGGTTCAATCACGCGTCACGCTGCAAATATTGGGGCCCTCATGCGTCACGCAAAACCTTTTTTTTTTTTTCGGAACTTATGGTACGTGAAGCGTTTTTATGGAGACTCTGATATTCAAATGTGTATGTCATTCAATCAAGACGCTGTTAGTCAGCCAAAACTCGAGAATCCCCGAAACAGCTTGGGACTAACTTGAGTTCTTTAAATTAATCTTCACCTTCAACTCGCGAATTTAGATCTTAAGAACTTAATTTTACAGTTTATACTTCGCGATGTTGTTTTAACCGCTACATTTCGACTTAGGAAAAAAATTCGGGCTCAGACTCAAACCCAACATTAAGTATCAATTCGATTGTTTACGACCTGATGTGAAACACGAGCCGGCCGTGGAAACAGTAAAAGTCATTGGCCGAGTTATTTTTCATTGAGTTTCCCTAATGGTCGCGGGTCGCGTGTCGCGGGTTTTGAAAAAGTCACGGGTTTTGAAAAAAGTCGCGGTTTTTCTATAGCATGCCTATAAAAGAAAGTCAAAGCACTGGAAAAGCATTGGAAATAAAAAAAAACCTAGTTAACAACAACAACAAAATAGTAATAAAAACAAACAATAGAGGAAATCAACCAACTATTATCAAAACTTTCCTGTAGGGTGATGTTGTTGCATTTTGAGCAGAGTCGAATTTTGCACTGGAAATGTCATCTTTTTTTTTTTGAAACTCAAATAAATGTGAGAAGTTTTGTAGACCCACATTTACCTGTATATATCTTTACCAAAACACAACAAGTTTTCTCATATTTGGCATAAAATGTTATAAATTTGTGAAAGCAATTATAGTTAGGTTGCTTAGCGTAATAATCGTTACCGGCCGGATAAAAGTACCACTTTTTGCATGGGGTCGGTTTGCTATATTATTTTAAAAAAAGTCGCGGGTTTTGAGAAAAGTCGCGTGTTCTATGAAAAGTCACGAGTTTTCAATAGAATGCATTTGTTTCTCAGTAAAATTCCTTCCAACAAATTTAAACCGGATGCAAAAGACGCCGGTTTTAAAATGACCGCGTTTTCTTGCTTCGGGACGGGGGATGGTTGAGGAAAGTCGAAGTAGCCTATCCTATTTCTTGTTCGCTTAGGTTGTCTAAAACATCCTTATATCTTATATTTGTTTGTTTATTTATTTATTTATTTATTCCTTCATTCACTTATTTATTTAATTACTGTAGATAAACTGAACTCTCTCTAGTCAAACAACAGCAACAAGGCTATGAAATAAAGTTAAGGCACTGGAACAGCATTGGAAATAGAAAACAAATCCTAGTCGGTTAACCAAAAAAACAACAATAAAGGAAATCAAAGAACAATTATAAAAACGTCCTGTAGGGTAATGTTGTTGCTAATATTAATGACAACTGTTTACGTTAGCATAATTTGAAAACCACTACTTGACGAAATGCGTGCATTTTGAGCAGAGTCGAATGAGTGGTATTGTTCAATAAATACAGTGACTTTGCCATCAAAATAGGGATTTTTGCGACGAACATGTGACACATCTAGGTGGTAATAAGTGTTTTTAAAGTCAACAGAGAAAACAGGTTGTCCCGTTGACTCGTCACGCCGGATGAATTTGCGGTCAAAATGTCTAATCACCACATTGTTCGGGGAACTCCTCTCTTCCGCTTTCAATAGAGAACCACAACCATAGCACACTCTTACGTTGTTTGGTAGAACTATAAGTTCATAGGGGTGTGGTGATAACCCAGAATGCCACAAATTTGACTGCTGAAACTGAAAAGCAGATTGAGGGGAAGCACTCATTTGCGGTGGATTGCCGTACTGGTGGGGTGGATTGCCGTACTAGTGGGGTGGGTTGCCGTACTGTTGCGGTTGGTTGGAGTACTGTTGCGGTGGATTTCCGTACTGCTGCGGTGGGTTAGCATACTGTGAAGCTGCATTATCATACTGTTGCGATAGATTAGCATACTGTTGCGACGGATGGGCGCACTGTTGCGACGAACTGGCGTGTTGTTGCGATTGGTTGGGGTAACGCTGCAGTGGATTTGCGCACTGTTGCGAGTGATTGGTATAGGGATGTGACAGAAACGTATGTGGCTGTGATTGGCCGGTGTCCGTTTGCGAAGCATTGGCGCGCAACTGCCGAGCAGGACCTGGTTGATTGGATCGTTTCGGAACAGAACGAGACGTACCTTTCTTTCCTTTTCCGGCTTTTTCTTGTGGTGGCCGATGTCCAGAAGAAGGATCCACCAAATTACCTCTTAGCTTTGACATCTCTTTGCCCAGCTGAGTAGCACGTGAGATCTCTTGTTGGTGACTCTCTTTCCTTCGTTCTCCATAGCTTGGGCCACTCCCACCTTTTGTGTTCCCTGACTTGAATGCCTTAAATTCTGCTTCCAGCATGACACTGTCTCGCACGTCAGCTTGAGCTGCATCGAGATAGATTACTCCGATCCCGATGAGACCAACTAGCGTGTATGACCTCCGCTTGATTCATTCTCGGAGCCGCTTCAATTGGAGAGAAAGCACAGAAAATGAACTGCCTTCGACTGTGCCACCAGTCGACCGATGAAGACAGGAACGACCTTTCAGGTTTGTTTTGTATAAAGCTCTCCAGGGAATCCTTGGCCGAACAATAGGTCTCCACCATTCGTGCCGCCAGTAGGGCATCGCACAGTTCTTTAAACTGTTGAGCTTCTTCATTGTCCTTTAATTTCTGTGCCATTTTGTTACGATTTTCTTTGAAGTGAAATTCACAACTTTTAACTCTTTCCAGAACCTCCTTTCCATAGACTCTCTCCAGGCCGTTCATATTTGCCCCAGCCATATCCACACACCATCCGATTGGAATAAATACGGTATCTTTTGTTCCTGTCGCCTGACTGAGAGCTTCATTAAATAGCATCCAAAATAACTCAATGTTTTCAGAATCTTCGCGTTCAGCTTCCATTACTGCCAGTACAACCTGTCGCTTTAGGAGTGGATGGTACGTACTAGCAGTAAGCGTAACAAAGTTCTTGCATCTCTTTACTTTACCATCGAAGTAACAATACTCGTCTTTCATGAAGTGGTCGCTGTTATGATATGCAAAAAACCTTCCGGACATCAACGTTTGCTTTTTCTTTCTTATGTAACTCTCAACTGTTATGTAACTTTCTGGACTGGTTATGTAATCACTTCGGACTACTCACGTGTCAGTTCTCGGGTTACACGACAAAAAAACATTTTTATAATAAGAGAGTCGCTATCGCGTTGTGGTTGTTTCGTTAGCTCTAAAGGTAACCTGCCTCTCAAGTAATTAAAGTTTGTGTTCAAAGAAGCTTACTGGACTCAGACTCACTATCTTGCTCTCTCGCGTCTTAAAGGACAAAACTGTCGCCTTCTCTGTTCATATTTTCAGCGATCAGCATTCGAACATTGCTGGTTTTAAAGACTTAAGACGGTAATTTTGGATTACATCGCCGGTCATTTATTCTGAAAACTAACAGCTGGTCCTCTTTATCACAATATTCTTTGAACGTTGCTACAGCTTCGAAGTTTTCTCCCGCAGGGTTTGCTGTTTTTTTGAGATCTTGCTTCCGGTTTTCAATCCATTTTTTATCTAAGATTTGCGATGCCTCATTTACTACTTTATTCCAATCTTCGCTGCTTCTCAACGCTGATAGGACAAATGCAGACTGTACCTGGAAAGGTTTCATTTCGGGATTTTTTCTTAATATGTCTTCCACCCGTTCGGTTGGCTTTGACGCTTTCTCTTGTATTGGACACGTGTGTTCTCCACAGTGGAAAACTTTTATGTTCTTTTTACCTATTTTAAGGTATCGCCGTGCAGGACATGCCACATAAACCATTTCTTCTCCACATACTCTACAGGAAGCCATATCGCCTTGTTTTTTTACTTGCGTTCTGTTAATTACCCCGTACTGAATCCTGTATGGGCACTTGTCGTTCTCACATTTAAATGAGCCTTGACAGTCCGCGTATCT